GAGGGATGAGAAGACCACATATTCAGATATCTAAATGGGGAGGGGGAAGATGTATTTTCTGAGGAGGTGATGCTGATAAGGATGGGTCTGTGGTCAGAACCACCAAGGCTTAGATGAGTAACAAAAGTGAGAAGGAAATGATTGTACCATTTATCATTGACCAGGCACCTATCAAGTCTTTCCCAGATTTTTTCCCTCTTTCAAGTAAAAGCAGGACCTTTGTATCCCAAATCAAACAATCCAGCCCTATGGATATTATCAGTGAATATATTCATTTTATTAAGGTTAGGGGCTCTACCCCCAATTGTTTCAGCAGTAGAGGCAATGCAGTTAAAATCTCCCCCCACAATCCATGGGGAATCCATCAGCTGACTGATATCTGACAAGCAACTCCAAAGCTCCTTTCTAGCTTCCTTGCTACAACCTGCATAAATGAAGGTAGAAAATCCCACATGGCCACCAAAGTTAAACTTAAAATGTACAAATTGTTGATGATTGACAATGATATTCCATCTGATTTCTTTTCTACAAAAAATCTAGATTTTATTATTGATATTAGCACAGTTACTGAATCCAGGGAATTTCTTGGTAAGCTTTTGATGGTTTTTGTGAACTATAGGCTCTAGGCTCACAATGCACCAAGGATTATATTTATGGGTTAATTGTAAGACTCTTTTATGGGAGAGGGGATTGGCAATTCCCCTAATGTTCCAACAAAGGATATTAATCATTTGTTTGTTGGATTGGTAATGAGGGTTGTGATCTTGACCTGGTTCTTCCTCTATGTAGATGGGGAGAACCAGATTTGAGATTGATTTTATTCTCACTCTGTTTAGATCCTCCCAGCTGTAATTTCTGAACTTCATTTGTTTGTTTTCCTTTTCTTCTAGCTGTTTGTACCTACCAATCATCTTCAATTGCTTGTTGAATACCAGCAATGATTTGATCCTCAGGTGCCATGCTATGAATTTCTGACTGTTCTCCCCCTAAAGGGGAAGCTGAGGGTGTGACTATAGTGATTTCTTGAAATTCCTTTCTGATAAGATTAGTAGAGGCAGTCCCATTGTTTCTGTTTGTAGGGGAACCTTCTGCTGGCTCATCTGAAGGTTCCACTGGTGAAGATTTTTCTTTAGTGATTGGGAGAGAATCTTTATTTCTTTGAGTGTCATCCTTCCTGTTGTTCAGCTGTGTATCTTTAGTAGAATTTTCTTTAGCTTGTAGTGCTATATTGCATGTTTCCTTATGATCTTTACTAGTGTTTCTTTTAATTGGTGGATGTATTCTGTAGCATCTTTCCACTGTATGGCCAAACATTCTACAGTGTTGGTAGTAATAAGGCTTCTGTTCAGAGACAATATTCTGCCAAAAACCATCATTATCTGAGCCAATCCAGATTCTTTTCACTTCAGGGAGGGTGATGTCTCTTTCCACTTGTATTCTGTCCAATGCTGGCCTGGCTTTGTTGTAAGTGGGCGCATCTACTTTCAAAGGTGTGCCCAGAGCTCTCCCTATGTTAAACAGTGCATTCAGCTTGAAGAAAGGAAGTGGAAGCCCAAGGAATTTGTACCAAATAGGAACTACTGGTGGTTCTTTACTTGGATCAAAGTCAGGAGTCCATTTTACAATTTTCATTGTAGTTCCAGCAATGATTACAGATTGCTTAGCAAAAAATCTGGCATAGTCTTCCTCAATAGTTAATTGGATGAGTAAGTGCCTTCCATCCAACAGCCCTATCTTCCAATTACCAATAAATTTAAGTGATTCAAAGAAATTTCTAGTTAGCTCCATTCTTGGGTGTCCCAATTGAAACTTCCCTATTAAGGTATAGAGAATGCACTATACTACTTGAGTCATCGTTTAATACTAACAGAGGTAAAGTATCCGCCTATCGAGAAGCATTGTCTAACTTTAATTTTCACCGACTAAAAGCTCAGGCACTACATGTTTTCTCATAAAATTACCCTTAATTCAAAAGTTAATCTGTTGCAATATTTGATGACTCAACCAACACTTTCCGGACGTCTAAAAAAAGGGTTAATGACTTTAATGCAATTTGACATAACTTTTATTCCCCTCCACACTATCAAGAGAAATATTTTAGCAGATTTTCTTGCTACACACCCACTTTCAGCTGAGTCTCCACTCAACAATAAACTGCCAGATGAGCAGATACTGCAGATAGACTCCTTCAATGCCAGGTATTGGGAAATGTATTTCAATGGAGCTTCTTCAACTAAGAAAGATAAAGGATCAGAAATGGTTATACCGGGCAAAGTAGGGGTTGGTCTGATTTTCATCACTCCATATAAGGGTATGTTGAGATTCTCCTATCACCTGACAGATCCGTGTACAAATAACAAAGCAGAATATAAAACATTAATCACCAGGTTGGGGTTGGCAATCTCGATGGATATAATAAATGTCGCCATCTAGGGTGATTCTACTTGTCATTAAATAAGTCACTAGGAAATACAAAATTTTGAAGCCAAGATTAGCATAATACCATCAATACACAATGAAGTTGCTAAAAAAATATTTCTAATTTAACTCTATACCGAATTCCTTGAAGAGAAAACGCCCATGCTGACACTCTAGCAAAACTTGCTAAGGAATTGACGTGTCCACCGGAGGACTCCATTGATATTACAGTACAAGAAACATGAGTTTTATCTTGAATTGACCTCGATAATCTACATAAGCTCAAAAAAGAAGAAGGAATGATGATTGTAGTTGCCAACATTAATGAAGATTGGCGTAAGCCATTAAAAGAATATTTTCAAAATGGAATGTTGCCAAAGGAAAAATCTAAAGAATACCACATAACAAGAAGGGCTATGTTGTACGCTCCAGTGGGAGATTTTCTCTACAGGAGATCATTTGATTAGATGTGGTTGCGATGCCTGAGCATAGCAGAAGCACAAAATTTTGTCAAAGAAGTACATGTCGGATTGTGTGGTACTCATCAGTCAAGGCCAAAGATAAATATGAAGATCAAAAAACTTGGATATTATTGGCCAGCAATGATATTCGATAGCATGGATACTGCTAGAACGTGTCACCTTTGTCAAGTTTATGGGGTGGTCCTATACCAACCTCCAAATGTGCTACACCCAACTGTTGCCTCGTGGCCATTCGAGTGTTGGGGTATAGACATAATAGGTCTGACAGACCCTCCATCCTCTAAGGGACATAGATTCATTCTTTCCTCTATGGATTATTTTTCCAAATGGGCAGAGACAGTGTAATTACTAGAGGTTACATCACAGCATGTTCTTCAATTCTTCAAGACCAATATAGTCTCCCATTTTGGTGTTCCACATAGATTAATTTCAGACAATGGTACAACCTTCAAAAGCACAAAGATCAACAATTTTGTTAAATGACATTGGATAGATTGGAGATACTCAATGATCTACAACATCGGGGCGAATGACTTAGCTGAGGCATTTAACAAAACGCTCGTTCAGATTCTAAAGAAGACACTAGATGAAAATAAAAGAGATTGGAATAACAGACTACTAGAAGCTTTGTGGGACTACCGAATGACGTTCAGAACTCCCACTAAACGTACACCTTATGCGCTTGTGTACGGGTCTGAGGTCATACTACCACTAAAAATTCAGCCACCGTCTCTCAAAGTTGTCATCGCCAACCAAATCACAACTGAAGAAATTGCAAAGCTCAAATTTGAAGAATTGGAAAGTCTCAAGGGAAAAAAACTAGAAGCACAACAACATCTGGAGCAGTACCAAGAAAGGATGTTGCAGGCTCATGACAAATTTGTCCGCTGATACTCGTGAATACCTAATGCTTAAGCACAGTATAGCAATAGTTTTGATGGTATTTTTCACTTACATTTCTTTATTTTGCAACAAAACCAAAAACTTTATCCTGAAGAAAAATATGAATTTAAATTTTTAATTTATATATATTTATATTGGGATACTACATAAGTACACGTATCGTTATCAAGAAATATAAAACTTTTTGATTAAGACCTGAATATTGAATACACACGGGAAGATTATGCAATATGCACATTTTAGAAAGTTTTTCTGTTCTTAAAATGCAAATATTTTTGGTATTTTTGATATTTTGAAAAAACAGTAACAACTTAAAAAGATAACTAGAGTTTTGTAGATGAAAAACACTTAAGAAGAAAAATATCATTCTTCTTATCATGAATCAGTAATAATTATAAGAATTCTGTTATGAAAGTATGCAAATTAAGTTGTGTCAAATAGAAGCAATAATTTTCTTTACCCTTACTAGAGTTGCTATAAAGAACATTGGCTAATTTAAAGTTTTAATAGTTTTGAAGATCGGCTAGGCAGGGAAGATACTAGCTCTCACTCTAGAGTTCCCTCGATACCCTCCACCTGGGGAAAAAAACTCTCATATCAAAACCTAAAATAATAACCCAACTTAGGGGCTTTAACCTGTCAATTTAAAGTCCTCTAACTCTACACCCATCAATGAATATTCCCTATTTATTTTCACTCAATCATATGAACTACATTCTCATTGATACAACCTCATGTGATTCTTTTCAATTATTGACTGGGACAATACCAGTTCATTTCTTACATATTCTCACAACAAATTTTAACATCTCGATTGCTCAAATCAAGAAGTAAATGAAATGCATGGATTTAAATCATAACAACTTCTTCCATCATTAAAGATCAATACTCTCCACAACTTCCATCCAAAACTTAATTACTTATCATTTTAAACAGAAAGATAAAGAAAACTACTCAGAATCCATGGAGGAAACAAAACCACACTTTAGTTTAAAAGAAGAAATCATTGACAAACCAACAAGTCTCAATTAAAACCAAAAGTAGATTAAAAACAAAAAAAAATAAAAACTTATCTTAAGTCCTCCACCAAACTCTTGAAGTTCTTTTGAATATCTTCTCTTTTACAATCACTCAAAACAAAATAAAAAAGGATAAAGTAAATAAAAAGTGGTTCCTGAAAATCTCTCCGAACTAACACCCCATAGAAGAACTTTCAAAACTTGCTAATATATTCAAGACTCACACTTTTTTGGACCTTTTCAGGACTCTTTTCTAAGTCCTCTCTTCTTTGTTTTATAGTTTTCCAAGAGGTGCCTTGGGAACTCTTCAAAATGTGTCTTGATTTGAAGTATTTGCCCAAGAGACACATCCTTTCATGATAATTTTCATCTATGGTGGTTGCAACCACATATTAAGCCAATGGGTGCCTCATAAACCTTTTCGAAATCTGTGGAAACCAATTTTACTCGTGTAGTAACTATCACTGGTGCTTAAGAGCGGGGTGTTGGTGCTTAGGCGTGACGTTCTCTATTTAATCGGCGTGTAAGTGCTGGATCTGGCGCTTTGGTGCCAAAACTCTTTTGCACAATTTTTTACCTTTTTGCTCCAAATTTGATCCTTTTTCACTCCTTTTGATCCTTTTTCTCCAAATTTGATCCTTTTTCACTCCTTTAATCATTTTTTCCATTTTTACTTGTATCTACAAGAAAAACCAAAAATTACCTTACATTAAAGAGCAATATGTTAAAAATAGGTATAAAAATGTGTCTAAAAATAGTAGATATTTTAGGTGTATCAAATCCCCCAAACTTAAAATGTTACTTGTCCTTAAGTCACACTTCAATCTTTAAAAACCAAATATGTATGATATGTATATGAGTTTCTTTAGGAGTTACTATAATTTTGATTTAGAAATATAGTAGTCCAATTTAGAAAAAATAATTAGTAAATGAGACCAACTTAAAGTTTGAAAATTTTTAAGGTTAAGAACTATGAAAATATGAGTTCTTATCTAATTCATGAATATTGTAAGTTCTCTAAATTTAGATTTTATTTCTTTTATTTTCTCTACTTTAAAATTTTTATTGAAAATAATTTTACTTACTATATTATATTTATAAGTTTAAGATTGTTATCAAGTCTTATACTTTAAATAGATCAAATGTAGAACTAATTTCTTATTAGGCATTAATCCTCAAGCTTCTCCTGCCTTACATTTATTTTCTTTTGCTTTTCTTTTTCTTTTCTTTTCTTTTTCTTTTTCTTTCTCAGGCAAGGATTACTATATCTAGGTAGACCTTTAATGATTTTGAATTTCACTTCTCCTTTCCTAAAGTAAAGTCTTGATATAAAACTTTTACTTATAAATATAATAATAGTTTTGAAAACCATTTTAATAAAAGAAATTTAAGTATTAAAAATATAAGTATAAATTATCTAAAATTTTCAAAAATACAATTTTTCTTACTAAAGATAGTCACTTATATTAATCATTTTTTATACTAAAAATTTTTAACTTAAAGTTTTTCTTCATTACTTAGAATTTTAACTAAATTGTATTACTCATTTCTAAAATCAAATTTTACTTCGCTAATATAACTTCATATACATAATTAATTATTCTTTTAAAATCAAATTCACTTATAATACATTTGAGAACAAATAAAATTCCAGTTTTGAAAATATTTTTCTTCCCCCCCCCCCCCGATAGATTAAATAATTTAGCATTAGATATATATATATAAGCAAGAATGAAAATTTAAAAATAACATGGTAATAATAATTTTAAGATCCTAATTATACAACTATAAAACTAAAGACAGGAGTAAAATTAATTTTTAATCAAATTATCTATATTTTCATTTTAGTTTAACATGTAGAGATTCAATAGACTTCTAAACAGTGGGTATAAAAGCAAACAACACACTAACATGATAAAAGTAACATGATAAAAGAAAAATACATTAGCAGTTTTTGAATTTCAAG